ATAAAGCCTTGGGAAGAGAGAGGGAGAGGTTTGTTTGTTTTTTTTTTAAAGACAAACCGTTTGGGTAATGACAGAGCTTAGCTCACAAAAGCAGGCTGGATCTTTGGAGGAACGAGGCAGAGTATGTCCCTTCCTCTTTAGTTCAGGAGAGGCATTTTCCTAAGCTGAAATGCTGCTTTTATATTTTGTTCTAATTTAAGGCCTTCCACGCCATGATTGAAGTTGTCACGGTTCTTTATCCTAAACTCCTTTTATGTTCACAGCTATATTCTCTGGGATAAAATCTCATTAGAGAATAAACTGACATGACCATATTGCAGTGTGAAACAGTATCAGATTTTTTCTGGTGTTAGTTACATCTCATAAAAACAGTTGGAGTGTAAAACATTGCTAGTAGAGCAAAGAATGTAAAAACTTTATAGTGGAGAAACCAAATACATCCTTTACTGAAGAATGTACAAGAAATGCCTATTGAACAACCATATCCTCTATTCAGCAGTTACCTGCAAATGACAGCACATTTTCAAACACATCATTTAGCTTTTGAACGCCCTTCAGAATATTACTGGTGGGTCTTCTTCTCCTGGAGACTGCAGCAAGTTATAAATTTGTTTATCGTACTATTTTTATACAGGCAAAACATCTGGTGGCATAAGCAGACACAGCACTCTGAAGAGTTACTTAGTCTGTTTTAATTAGAGGAAAGCTGTCTGGGACAGACACTGTTCTTCTCTAAGCATGTGGGGATTTTGTTTTTTGTTTTGGTTTTTTTTCCCTCTGCATTCAAAAAAATCCATTCTGTTAAAACACATTTAAAGAATAAATACAAATAACAGATGATATACACTTTTTCATTTATATAAAAAAAAGCCAAACAATCTGTAGTTCAGTGTAAAATGATCACTGGTTACTAATCATCTTTGAAAACAGAAACCTGAAGCTCTCAGTTGAGTATGCATTGAAAATAAAATGTCAACAGTCTGAAAAGATTACTGATTTGTAGGGTTTGCTTTTTTCTGCTTCCAGGAACTTCTACAGACCTTTGTGTTTTAATCTCTGAATATTCATGTATTGTTAGGTGTGGCCAACACTTGATTTTTTATTGGTTTTGGGGGTCTATTTTCGCTTTATTTTTTTGTTTGTTAGTTGTTGTTTTTGTTGGTTTTGTTTGGTTGTTTTTTTAAATAGAATTTTTAGTTGAAAGAAAGGTGGGAAGCCTTGATTTGAGTGTTTGTCTGTGCATTAGAATGGGTCTGGGGGAACACCAGAACATGCAAGGTCTGCAAGTGCTGTGTGGCTGTGCTAAATTGTTTCCATGACACTGAGTAATAGTGAGGTGATGAGCTGAATTTTGAATAGCAGGAATGGTGCTGAGCAATCCTTGTCTCCTGCCAGTGAGACATGCAGAACTATTCCATGACTAAATTTTTTTTTTAATGGATCTGGGTTGTCCTGCAGCTGAATAAGGTTCAGATGAATTGTGCTGAGAAGGAAGCTGGGCAGGGCAATATATACTGGCTCTTTCAGCAACGTGCACATGGCAAGCTTGCTTTAAGCTGTAAGGATATTATGAAAAGTAACAGTGGAATTTAGGCAGTAACAAGCCTCACCTGTTCTCCTCAGCTTCTGCACTCCAGAATGCAGCAGAGGTTCACCTCTAAAATGAAGTACTCAGGCTTTATTAAGCCTTTTTTCTTACCTGGAAAATCAGCATCATTAAGAATTTTAAATTAAAATTCCATGTAGCATTTGGAAAATCTGGTAAGATTTCCTGTTCAAATCATAACCTGCTGATCTCATCCTCTACCTCTGCCATGGCATTGGACTGCTGGGTACCCTAAATTTCTTAGAGTGGTGAGTTACATGAGGTAAGGATAACTTGATACAGAAGGCTGGGAAGATGAGATCTCTGGATAACAGCAGAGAGGATCTGTTACTCTGCCACTGACTCAGGTTGCACCTGAAGGGTGAAAAATGCCACCTTGTATCATCCTTGTCTGATAAAATTTTGTAGTGGCAGCAAGTGTAAGAATAGGTTCTTCCTTTTTGGCACATTTTCACTACGTGAACAAGTGTCTGATTTCAATGATCAGTGAGACAATAGCTTTAAGACTTTCTCTAAGCCTGCACTTTTAAAATATAGATGTGCAACTAAAATATTAACTTACTGTTTAAATCTGCGAGGTTTTGGCTTTGAAGCTGTTACCACAGGTGAAAGTGCAGCTTCATCAGTGCCACAGTGTTCAGGCACTGAACAAACCAACAGTTCATGGCACAGCCTGCCCGGCAGAACTACCCACACTGGAATTACACACTCCTGCTTGGATGCTGCGATTTGTAGCTGAAATAATCTCTGCAAATTAAGGTTTAACTAGCCTTCTCCACAAAGGATTGATTTCTTATGACAGAATTAGTTTTTAAGAATTAGAACTGAAAAGGACTGCTGCCCACACAACCATATTTTTCCCAAGGTTATGTCGCCATAGGAATTTATCAGAAGGGGTTGGACTAGACGGAAAACATGCAAGGTCTTTGTCCTCAGAAGTACAAGTAGTGACTTTGTGTGGCCTGTCACAATGACTCAGACTTGAAAAGCAGATTCACACTGCCTTTGACATCCCCACCAGGCAACAACAACCGTGTTAATTTTGGATAGAAAGCTGCAAGCACGACTGAAATTTATGTGAGCTATGTTTGGCCTAAAGCTGATTTCAAGAGTATCATAAGTTCAGGTGAAGCACTTCATGAGACTCGTGGAATGATGTGCTTACAATGGCTCTTTGCTTTTATAATTTGGTAGATGCCTTTCCTTGTGTAGTTTCTGAGGTGAAATTTGCTCAGTCTAAGGCTGGACTTTGTGTTGCTCTTTGTGGTGATGTCAGCTCTAGTCACACCTTCAGTTTTGTCCCAAGGAGAAAATAAAGTGAAATCTCATATCCCTCCTGAAAGAAAGAGGGAAGGATAGCTGTTGCTGATGTCTAGTAATGATGAAATATTTTTAATATCAATTTACAAAAAGTCTAAAAATCAAAGTTCACCACATTTTGTCTGATGTGATGTTTAGAATCAAGGCATGTCAGAGATGCTTAAAACAAGACAACTACTCATGCCTCTGCCTTTCCCTAAGGAATATAATTCACTAGAAATCCCTCAATGCTTTGGACATGTTGAAATAGTTGACCTTTCCAGGATGGTTTCTCTCCAGTCTCATTCCTTTTATTCTTTACAGAGCTGGTAAGGTAGAAGGTGAGAAGGGGGTGGAATATTTTTCATTTGAAGATGAAAACTTCTTCCATCCCCATCACACAGGTGAAAGGAATAGTTTCACTCCGTGGAAAACTAGATTCTTGACTGCTGGAGAGAAAAATACACAATTATTTTTTATTCAGGAAATAATGAACTATTTATTTATCTTACTCACTAAGAAAGCTTTATTACAAAACTCCTTATGAATAACTAGTACTTAAAAACCACAGGAATTGCTATCCAGAATGATCTAACACTGGTTGGTGGTAGCTTCTAATAAAAAAAGGTTGTAAGTCCCTCCTTTACCACCTTCTTCCACTGACTTGTCATTTAGATATTTCCTTAAATTAGTCAACACAGAAACTTCACGGAGTTCTTTTCCATTAGTCTTCCCAGCAATACTACAGTTTTCAGCTTAAGATTTGTAATTGAACAAGGAAGTGGATTTCCAGTGGTGAGAGGTGCTGAGGAGTTTGCAGGACCTGTGTAAGAGTTCAGCACTTTGGATGCTGATGCAAAGGCCAAACACACATTGACATCTCCTCTGGAAATGCACAGGAAGGCAGCTAAGGAGTGTGATCAGGAGAAATCCCCCCAGGCCCTTTCTGGGGGAGGATTTGCCCTGCATACAGATGAGAACATCTAGTTCCTTTAGTTTGGACCTACTTACTGTCTGAGGGATTGCACCTGCATAGGAGAGGCTTGCCAGGCAGGGAACAGTATTGGTTATTAAATGTTAAATGTGCAGCACAGCACTAACCCCTTCTGGCTGCCACACCTTGAGGGGCTCTGTGGTAAATGGTTCCCTTAACATGAACTGGAGAGTATTGCCTACCTGTAAACAGGTACCCTGAGTTGCTGCAGGGAGGATGAAGACACCCACTACAAGGAATTCATTAAGGGAGCCAGAGAGCCTTTGGTACCAAAGCAGCAGGAGTGAAGCAATGTGGCACAAAAGGAATACAGGGAAGGTGCCAAGTACAGAAAATGCAAAGGGTTCCAAGATGAAGTCATGAGAAGTACTGAGAAAGTGTAAAAAGGGAGAAAGAGACTGCAGGAGAAGTGACAAATATGAAGTAAAACCTTTATGATATACAGGGTATGTTATATAAGAGAAGAATTTGAATCTGATGAGATTATGTTAATTGAAAGATTACTTCAACAGCTGAATGTATTCATCTGCACTTTACCCTATTATCTTAACAAGGTCCAAAAAAAGTTGCACAAGCAAAAAACCTCACAAACGAACCCAAGCTTTCCATTCCCTGTGATGGATGCCAGCTCTTTACTCCAAAGGGCGTGCACAGCACAATGCAAACGCCTCTCTTGGGATATTTGGGCCGGTTGCTAATAATGATTATTTCTCATAGGGCAGCAATTTAGACAAAGGGAAGCCTGCTGTACGGTGAAAAGGGCCGAACGTAAAACAACACTGCACTCTAACAAGCAGCGTAAGGATTTTTACAGCCCCAGTAACACAGAGAGTTTGGACTCTTCTGCCCGACTGTGAGCAGCCGTCTCCGGAGCACACCGAGAGGGCTGCGCAGGGATTAATTATAAACACGGCACTTGATCCGCAGGCAGTGCAGAGCCCCTGCAAGGCACAGGGCGCTGCTCGTAGGTACAGAGCTGCCCGGGAGGGTCCCGGAGCCGCCGAGCACACGCTGGAGCCATGAATCAAACCCGGTCATGTGATGGAGGGGCGGCGCTGGGCTGGCTCCCAGCCAGTGGCAGGAGCCCATGGGTGGGACGAACCGGGCAGAAAAAGACTAATATGACTAACGGAGCCTGGATGCGTGGTACCTTTATTTGGATCTACAGGAATGTAGGCTCTAGCAGTTCTGCAGCTCTACCAGCCTCTTGCCTGACACTGGAACTGCTGCTCACAAAGTAGAATCCTGCTGCTCCTTGGTAGGAAGGATAGAGAAAGAACATGGCCTGCATTTTGAAGGTAAATCTCTATCTGTTGCTTGAATGCATTGTTAGATAGCCCTCGCTGCTCAGAGGCATGGATTTGGTATAGTCCTATTGCATCGTCGTTGTCTTTTTGAAAACTGGCTTTGTTTGGTAAATGAATATGGAGAGATTCTGCAAGCACAGCTGTGCTCTGCTTTCCTCTGCCATTCTTTCTCATTTTTCCCTGCATTGTCAGAACTGTGAGCTAGCGGGAAGAGAAGTGTGTACCGAATAATGGGAGGGGGGAGACGGGCTCTGGTTTGTCTCAGCTGACTTGGTCTACACTGAATTCCTTCAGGAGCAATAGCATTTGGGCAACAGACTTCCAGTACAAAGGACAAAACGGGCAACTTATTTTCTTTTTCTAACCATGCAGCATTTACTGCTCTTAAAGCAACGGCTGCAGATGTCCACAGCTGTCCCAGTTGCTCCTTAAGCACACGCTCCCCTGCTGAATCCGCTCCAGATCCACATGCTCCACACAATCAAACTCAGTATTTAACCGCATTTTCTAATTAACAACCTATTTGATAGCGGGTTTCCCCCCTTCATGCCAGCAAATACAAGCATAAACTTACCGTGTGATCACATGCTTTCTCCAGCCTGCTTCCCTCACCGAGGTAAAAGTATTTGGAGCCCGCCTGCCATGGAGATGGAGGGAGCATCAGTGGCTGGGATTGAATGGGAGGGGAGGAGGCGGAAGTGCGGTCAGTGGAGAACAAGCCGCGTTTGTTTCCTTGCGGCGCTGTCACTTGCGGGGGTCACTCTCCTGTGCCCCGCTTCGGAGCGCTCCGTTTCAGCTCCGTTTGTTATCTGCCTTGCTGCTTTCTGTGCATACTTTGTGTATATTTGCGCTTTGTTTCTTTTAGCAACTAAAACTGATCTGTGAGTTCTTTGTTATTTGCAATCTGATCTTCTAGCACAGAGTTGATTATCTCAAACTTTGCGATGGCTTGTCATAACAGTTGCTTTCAGTGTATTAACGAAGTGGATATATTGCAAAACTTTCAAACAGCTTCTGGATAATGAACATTTAGGTATCTCCATGAATCCAATCCTTAGCACTACTTTTGAGCATTTAACTTTGAAAAAAATCTTGTTATTTTGCGTCATTCTTTTCCTGATTCGTTCGTTCATTCATTCTCAGCTAGTGGTATGTGGATGTTTTTTTGAATTGTCTGTCTTGTAGGTTGTGGTAGCTTACGTTAATAAATATGGCAAAGTCTCCTGCGAGTGCAAAAACTTTGCTAAACTAGCAGATTCTGCTTGGAGCTAGATGGTAACAAACTCCTTTAGTCAGGCAGCAGTAATGCAACTGAGAGTTGTGATTTGAGATGAGAAGATGTGAGCTCTGCGAATGCAGCCTGGTTTCACAAAGATGAGCATGTAAACTCCTCTTTAAACACTCCCTAAATGACTTAGGTTGGATCTGCCAGTGTTCCAGAAAACAGAATTTCTTTTTTTTAAGTCTGTGGCAAGATCAATGCAAAATTTTCCTTTTGGCCATAAGAGTTAAATAAGAACCTTTTACAAGAAAACTCCAGTTTCTCTTTTGCCCTCCTAATTGTTTCCTCTGGAGCCTGGTGACATAGCCTGCGACAAGCATGACTTAGAGTTTGAACTGTAATGTAATAAAAACCTTCTGTTTGCCTGGGCCAGGAACTCCATTTGATTGTTATTCTGATGATTAAATCAATAGTTTAATTGGTATTCCTTGACAGACAGCCCTCTTCCAGTTTAATTCCTAATCTTGTTAATACAGGCAGGTGCAAGGATAAAAAGTGAAACAGATCTGAGAAGATTAGCATTGCCACAAGGCAAGCTGGATTTTCTCAGACAAACATCCCACAGGAGTAATTTAAATGTCAAAGATACTTACTTGTATATAAGTTTTTAATGTAGTGTCTACAGCTTTTTCCCTAACAAGGAAATTCAAAATAATATGTATATTTTGACATGACACTAAGCTCCTTTCTTCCTGAAAATATAAACATGTTAGCTACACACTTCTCCTTTCCCTAGGGTTTGTCCTGAGCTTGTGTGGAAACAGGAAAAAAACCCCCAGGAATGTGTAGATATAGAGTTGGAGTAAGTGGTGTCACAGTCGATGGGAAGCCAGAACAACTGTGCATCCTTTCCACTTCAGCCCTGAGTGTCTCTCTGACTCTGCCTTGTGACTTACCCTCCTCCCTTCCTAGATTTTTAACCTCCTGACAGTGCTGTTGAGTTTTTTTGAATATTGGAGTTCCATATGATCGAGAGTTTAATAGAAATGCAGTTGGATAGAGGTGTCTGTAAAGTGCAAAGAACAGGGATGGCAGTTAATAATTAACTGAAACTACTTAGAGTGGCTAAGAGTGTGTTAGAAGAGGTGCATCACCTTTAGATCTGAACATCTGCTTATGCTATGACTACTGCATGCAATAATCTCTGTGTGCAGCCTGTGCAAAAATGCTTTGGAAGGGGGTTCTCCCTAAGGGTGCCTGCTGTCTCCCTGGTGTTTGTTGTGCACTCTTCCTAGGTAAGAGTGATGGGGCTGTTACTGATCGTGGCTCCAGAAGCTTGGTCAGTAGTGGGGCATTCTCAATAAAGCCGGTGAAATTAATATTTTGAGGCATTCTCTCTTTTGTTAAAGAAAAACAGGGAAAGATGCAAGTTCTGAAGTGCATGATGTGTTTTTATTTTCTCTGTCAAGACTTTAAAAATCACGGCAAATAGGTGAATCAAGTGTAGGCATTTTTTGGAAACAAATAGTTGATCTTACTCTTTTTAGTATGGCAGCTGCATGTCACATTGCCAGCTGCTAGATTAGCACTGATTACTAGTTATGCAGTCACTCTTGTCCCTAATGATATTGAAGTCCCTAAATTCCACTGTATCAGCCAGTGACTCTTGAAAATGAGGACAGATTTCACTCAGTAAATTACTTCATACTCCATTTCCTGCATAATTGAAACATAATACTTCAAAGTATGTGTCATTTTATGATAAAACATGAATGATAACACTCTGTAAAACCATGATATCCCCCAGTCAAGACTGGCCCATGATATTTTAAAGCAAACAGGACAGGTAACTTAGTTTGCACATGCTGCAGTTTGCAGGAGATTGTCTTACCCTGTTCCCAAACTCTTCTTTTTGAATGGAAGTTTTGAAGAAGATGATGGAGATGGATTATGTTGTCACCTGAGTACAATTTTAACTGTGTAGGCTTAATGTGGTAGAGCTTAATAAACAAAATCTGTGTGTGATGGGCCTGTACAGTGAGGACTAAGAATGAAATCTAGGAAGACACTTCCTTCTGGTTTGTGTGCTATGTATTTACAAGAACAATGAACAACGCAATGAACAACGAAGGTTTAATGTGCCTGGGGGCTGGATGTGACCTTCTATCAACAGGGGTTACAAACTTTCAGTGAAACTCTGTGGTTTGAATATTATTTGCATAATGTGAGGCAATGTTCTTATTACCACAGCTGATTGAGGGTCCTCTCAAAGTAAGCAGGTGGCCAATTAAAATTCATAGCCTCTTTAATATTTTAAAAATCTAATTTAAACATTGAAAGAACTGTTTTGCAAAGCATAACTTACAGGTTTCAAACCAAACTCTTCAGCACAGGCTTGTGACTGTTCTGCAGGATGCTGTCGAAAGTTGACAGTACCTGTGTGTTCTGCAGTTCTTTTACATGCTTCCTCTCCACTATCTACACTGGTTGAATTAAATTCACAGGTTGCATTTTCCCTTAATGCACATAGTGAACTGTTTTTGTCAGGAATTTTCTTTGAGAGTTTTTTCTCAGTGTTCAATGGCCTATGTCTGATTGGGGTCTTCAGGCACTGCAGTAATACAGATAACATTATTATCTACAAGCATATGCTCCATCTGCACTTTTGAGACTAAAATAGCAAAGTTGATCTCATTACACTGAATTTTTCACCCTAGCAAGTAGCAGTTCAGGAGGGAGAGGCAGAAGGTCTGAAAGGATCTGATCTCAGTGTTTGGATGCTTGTAATCTTGGATTTTTAGTTATTAATTGGATTTTTTTTTTACCTCTAGGTACGTGACAATAAGTGTAGATATTTCCTCTCACGTTTCTATATCATCAAAGGCATGTTCTCTATTTTAGTCTGCTCTGTTGTGCAGGGTAGGCTGAATCTCACTATAATTCCATTCTCTACTAGAGATTTGCAGGATGCAAGCATTTCCATAGAGTTGACCTCTATATCCTGCTTGAATCAGGTCCAACATAATTCACATTCTGCCTTGACTGTTAAGTTGCCTGCAGCAATGTTTATGCATGGCACCCATCCGTTTTCCTGTGCTGAGAGTTGTGCTTGGATCCTGTTTGATTCTCATGCTGTGCTCTTTTTTCTGACTCAACAAGAGATGGAGACATCCTTGGAAAAGGAACAAGGGTGACCTCCCCTCCATGTGGGAGGATGCTGCACTGATGGGTCATTTCCCAGCATTTCCCAGCTGCAGGTTTGTAATGTGAGCTCTCTCCTCAGCCTGTTTTAACCTGATCAACAGTTCTGTGGGCTGCAGCATTTCTCTTATAACTGGAATAATTCCTAGGATTGTATGGTTGTATCTCTAGGGAGAGAAGTTGTAAATATGCAAAGGTGCCCCTTATGAGATGTGCCTAAATGAGCTGGAAACTAGTGGGTGGATGCAACAAGGAGTTAGAGAGAAGAATCAGGATTTCTGAGGTAATAACCAGGTTTTCTTTGTGGATCACTCCACATTTGTTATGGGTTAATGTTCCCATCCTTTTTCACCCCACCCAACAAAACTGGCTAACTTAATTTTTAATTTTTTCTAATGCTCCTTCTCCATTGGATATTTCTATTTTAAGTACATTTCTTACAATTACTCTGTTTCTAAATAAAATACTTTTTTTTTTAGTTTTTGGTGGTTCTACATTGTTTACCTCTAAATTGCTCCAAAGTAAATGAAGCTGCATTAATGAACCTCCCAATGTGCAGGGCTAGGAT